GAACGAACAAAACGCCCGGACATGATTACCAAGTGTTCAAACGAAGACGGAGAGCAAACAAAAAAAAGTAGAGCAAGGAAAAAGGAGTAGGTGAAAGAGATGTTGGAGAAGCTCAAGCAACGGGGTTACTGGGGCCGCTGTTTCGGGAATCTGAGTGGAGGCAAAGGCCCCACGAATTGACACAACTAATTTCGGAACAACTGCAAAAGGAGTCAGCAAGAACAGGATTGAATATTCCTAGGTCATTGTACAGTCTGATCTTTTTCTGTTCTTCTTTCATTATGAACATAGAGGCCTTGCATCTTTGGCCTTAGAATGATCACGTGCTGTTTTCAAATACTTTCTCGGTAATACGAATACGGCACACTCAATGACATTGCCTGATATGGACTAGCGTCAAACTGAGTCAGCAATCTTTGTTTACTTTGAATTTCGTCCCTCCAGAAACCAGTTTGCGCTCATTTGATGCTCACATCCAAGGTTACTGCCCAGACCATCGATTGGTATGTATATCTTATACCTGCTTGTTTCCTCCCAACTCGCTGACTTTAAGTCCCAGCGGCCAACACAGACAGTGGCTGGACGTGAGCTCCTCCTTCTCGCCCGGATACTCTATTCGCCGGTAACCTGGCGGTCAACAAATCCCAATATGGAGGGTGAAAGCACTGTAAACAACCCCACTTTGAGTTTCTGTTACATCGGAGTATATGGGAACAGAACTGACCATCTTCAGACTAGAACCAGGTCGTCCACTCGGACGCGCCTACCACAGGCCGGCCTACGTGAGGCCAGCTCTGCGACAACCAATTCGCGCTCTGGCATCATGGCCCCAGGTACAATCGCAAACAAGGCTATGAGCATGTCGCGTATGGAAGAACCTGAATCGTTGGCGCAACATGAACTGACAGCGCCGGAAGCAACCCGCCCGAAAACCGCAAACCCGGAACTGAAGAGACCTGGATCCGTCACACGACAGCCTAGCACCACGACCAGGGCGCATACCCGCGGAAACTCGTACTCATCTTCAACTATGTCCCGGCCGACCGCACCTACGTCTCGCGCAGCCAACGGCTCCTTTTCCTCAACCGTCGGTCCCGGCGCACGCCCAGCAACGGCTATGTCCCGGCATCAATCGTCCTTCAACGGCCGCAGACCTGTCGGTGCATCGATTCCGCGCGCAGCAAGCGCGCTGGATACCCATATGGAAGACACCTCTCCCAGTGTTCTCGGAAAACGAAAGGGTATGCCACAATTTCCCTTATCTCCCAGTCGTATTCCTTCTTGCCCTGTTGGAACCGTGCCCCCCGGATTGGATGAAGGTTGGAATGGGGCTGGTGAATTGACAGCGCTCTCTGTGTCTGAGAAACCTGTCTCTTTTCCGCACCCTTCCAACCTAGCAACTATCCCCATGTTGCCCAGTACCCCATTCAGGAATGTCCCCACTGCTACCACCCCAAAGTCACCCGGATATGCGCAGTCATCCTCGTCCTCTTCTGTTTTTACTGCCCCTACCGTACCCCCCAGAACCCCATCACATTCCCAGCGGCGCATTGTCAAAAAAACTTCCCACCCCGCATTTTTGACCAAAGGTTCCTCGATCAGAAGTTTTGACAATATCACAGGCCCGGAATGGGATCAAGCTTCTCGCGAAAAGAGCATGGAGGGACTGATGCAGACTTTTATGGCCCAGGTAAATCAACAAGGCCAAGCAAGCTCCGGTCTCAAGGAGACGGTTGATTTGTACAAGTCAAGAAGTAAGCTGAGTTTGATAAGGCCTATGTTAACACGAGTCTAATCCTTTCGTCCAGTCAACGAGCTTGAAGCCTCCCGGGATGAGTTGAAAGAACTCAATATTACCCAGCGCGTGGAATTAGACTCGCTGCGAAACCAGTTACATGCGGCAGAGCAGGCGCGTAAAGAGGACAAGCGGGAGCATGAAATTGCCATGGATGATCTTTACCAGCGCCATCGTATTGAATTGGATTCGCTCCAACAACAAAGCAGGAGAGAAATTGCCACAGCCACTGACCGACACCAAGAGGAGGTTCGCGACCTGAAACGCCGATTTGACCGTGAGATTGAGGACGAGAAAGCAGCACGAGTAAGTGCGCTCGGCAAGCTGACTTCCCAATCTGCACTCGATATCCAGAAGTCGCAAATTGAATTGGAAAGGAAGGACCGGGAAATTACGACATTGCAGGATGGGCTACAGGCCCTGAAGGCGGACCTGGATCGCGAACGAAGGACTGTGCAAGAACTCAAACTCAACCTGGATACCACAAGCAGCAACAGCATTACGCTAGAGTCATCTATTCGTGCTCTTAAGGCACGCATTGAGTTCCTTGAAAGTGGACGGGAGGAGCAGTCTAAGTCCTTTGAGCGGTGCAATCAGCAGATGATGGATGCATATGCCGAGACAGAGGCGATAAAGGATAAGCTGCGCAGGGAAGAGACACTCCGACGCAAACTTCATAATCAGGTGCAAGAGCTAAAAGGCAACATTCGTGTGTTCTGCCGAGTTCGCCCCTCACTTAACAGTGAACCTGCCTCCGATCTCACTCTTATGCAATATCCCGATGAAGCCGACGATGGAAAGGAGATCAATATCCTTGGCCCCGAAGAGAAGAGCAGTCTTGGAACAGTTAACCGCAAGAATAACACTTTCTCGTTTGATCGTGTATTCAATCCATCCGCCCAGAACGCCGAGGTCTTTGATGAGATTAGCCAGCTTGTTCAGAGCGCCCTGGATGGCTATAATGTTTGCATTTTCTGTTACGGCCAAACTGGTAGTGGCAAGACACACACAATGTCATCGGCCGACGGCATGATCCCTCGTGCCGTTCACCAGATTTACGAAACCGCGCAAGGCCTGGAAGAGAAGGGTTGGCGGTACTCAATGGCCGGCAACTTTGTCGAAGTTTACAACGAAAACCTCAATGATCTGCTGGGCAACCCGGATGAATTGGACAAGAAGAAGCATGAGATTCGCCATGACATGCAGCGGGGCAAGACTACCATCACCGACATTACAACTGTCAATCTGGATTCCCCCGAGATGGTGGAGTCAATTCTCAAGGATGCGGATGCCAACCGCTCGGTAGCAGCGACCAAGGCCAACGAGCGCTCATCCCGGTCACACTCCGTCTTCATTCTCAAGCTTACTGGCCAAAACCACATCACTGGCGAACGCAGCGAAGGCACGTTGAACCTCGTTGACTTGGCAGGAAGCGAACGTCTGAGTCACAGTGGGGCGACCGGGGAGCGTCTGAAAGAGACTCAAAATATCAACCGTAGTCTCAGCTCTCTGGGCGATGTGATTTCAGCACTCGGCCAAGGCAAAGAGGGAGGTCACATCCCATACCGGAACAGCAAGGTATGTTTCTTTCTATAGTTATCTTTCTTCGCTAGATACTAACTTGCTCTCCAGCTTACGTACCTCCTCCAGTTCTCCTTGGGTGGAAACTCCAAGACTCTCATGTTCGTTATGGTCAGCCCGCTCCAGGCGCACATGTCGGAGACCTTGACCAGCTTGAAGTTCGCCACCAAAGTACACAACACCCACATTGGCACCGCAAAGCGACAGGCGCGTGTTCGTGACACCTGATTATGATGATACCTATTTTTCTTTCTTGAATATATTTTGTTGGTTTTCTTTAGGCGGGTAGGGGTCTTTGACGATCCTGTCCTCTACCCTGGAGTCTTGGTCGGGCTCTTGATGCTTTTTCCTCCTTTGCCGAAGCCTTTGGAGGTATTCGGTTCCTGTCTTAGCGTGTGATTTACTGTATGGACAATGATACATTTGGTTTGATCAATGCACAATAGCAGGCTCTCAACGTTTGTCTGTTTCGTTTACTTGCGAGAGATATGCTAGTCTTCCTTTTCGATGAATTTACGTAGATCAAATATGGTCTGTTCCCTTTTCTCAATCCAGGGGAAATGCCCACATTCGCCGTAGGTAATCAGTCGGGCATTTTGCATATCCTTTGCCGTCCGTTCTGCAATTCCTATCCCACAGATCATATCTTCGCGGCCGAATATGATGAGTGTCTCTGCCTGCACATCACCAAGCTTCTCCACCATTTGCATCGGATCCAGCAATTCCTTGTCACATCGCCCCTGGGCTTGGAAGGACCAAACCGACAACTTGCGATCGCCAATATCACGCAGTAGCTCTGGTACATACTGCTGTGGATTAAAGAAGTACAAAGGCCACATGCCTCGCACCGACTTTGTAAATTCCTCATCGGATCCAGTTTGCCGATCCAGCACGCTGTCCCAAGCGTCCTGGTATCGAGGATCTATGCGGGTCGCTTCGAGCTGCAACAATCTCTTATCCTGCAATCCCACTAGCTGGTGGTCGAGGAGAACGAGCTTGCCAACGCGACTGGGATACATCTCCGCGTACCCTAGCGCAATCGCTCCGCCGTTGGAGTGTCCCAGTAAAACCGGGTATCGTTCCAGACGCAGGTGCTGTCGGAGATCCTCCAAGTCGGAGGCAAGATCGGGCATACTGCTCATCTGGGATGCCAGTGGTCTGGATGATCCATCCGTACCGCGAGGACGGAAGAAGATCACAGTGTAGCCGTTGGTATTTGTGGTACTCGTGTGGTATGCCGGTCTCCACAAGTCTTGCAGTCCATTTTCAAGATATTGAGATCCTAAGCCCCAGCCGGGGCATTGGACAACAATTATATTGTGTGGATCTTCGTTTTCGGTGGATGGACGATGCACGATATATTCAAATATCAACTCCTTTGCCAGAACACTGAAGGTGTGGATTCCCGAGTACAATACTTTTGACATTTGGAAACATGAGATTGAGAGACTGAATCAATATGCGAAAGCTATGCTAGGTCGAACATACAATCGAAACCAAAATTTAGTCTATTCGGTATTAAACTGTGACGTCATTCGGAATAGCACGACTAGTTACATACCTACATATGTCTGTAGTTAACCTTGGAATGCATAAGTAAGCTGAAATCAAGTGGAATTTCTAGTTAGAGTTGACCAAAGTATCTGTCGGCCTTCTGCTTTACATGTTGGGCCTTCTCTTGAATAGCTTTGGCGTCCAAAGTCCCCTCCTCACAAATGTAGGCATCTATGAATTCAGCCGGAACCCATTCGAAGTAGATATTCTTAACTTGGACTGCATAGTTGGTGTTCTCTCGATCAGCCTCAATGCCCTCAGCAAGCATCTTAACTCCTTTAATGCCGCCGTCCACCCAGCAACCCACCAGCTCTTTGGGATCATTCTCTTCGTGGCTATGACTGCTCTCGGCGCCAGGCTCGGCTACTTTCTCCAGCTCACTGAGAACCAATACCTTGGTAGCAGGACACGCATGCCTGGCACTCAGAACAGCTGGCAAAGACCCAGTTTTATTGCTCACTGAGCCTGAGTCTGAGATCCGGTCTGCCCCAAGTAGGACGAAATCCACTTCCTTGCTGGCAAGAGCGGCGGATGCATCGGTGTACACAGTTAGTTCTAGATGTCGATCGGAAGACGAGGGAAATCTTGACTGAAAGGCAGACAGGATGGAAGATGCCATATTGACTCCTTCACAAAGCGGACGAGATTCTAGTATCCTAAGATCCAAATTAGGAATAGGAAGGGACGCAAAGGCCTCTAAAATACTGTCCCGGATGGTAGAGCTCGCCGACAGCGTGAGGATAACAAGAGACGGCGAAGGCTGTGACTCTGCTGTAGACAGGAAGTTGCATTCAAGATAACCCCCAAAGGAACGTTTTATACGCATGGGCATCTCCTTGCGCTTGTCCAAATGGTGGTCGAGCAAAGCCAGTAAGCGCTCCCATTTGACGCTGCGGTCCAGAGTCTCGTGTACGATCTCTTCCATGTCGGCGAGCAATCCAAGAAATGCATTCAATGTGGCTGCGCCCATACTTTCTCTTCCATTTTTCCACAGATGCCATGCAGCCATGCGAGCAGTTCCCCACCACCTTTCATCAATATCCTCACTCATCTGCGCAATAACATCCCGGAAGGCCTTCAGCGCAATCGAGGTCAGCTCGTGCGATCCGCTCTGGTGATCTGCTTTCAGTTGTCTCAGGCCTGAAATGAGTGCCTTGCTAGCACCCTCGCTCATATCGCTTTCAAAACACACTCGTCGCAGGCTTTCTTTCAGACGTGGTACGCCACCGAACTTCTCACCGTCCTGGACTGTATCGGGGCTATACCACTCCCAGCTTTCATGCTCCCAGTCGATTTGAATACCACTCTCCCCGCGACCACCTTCACTGCAGTCTTTGAGTCGGAATAGGAATGGAAAAACGGTCCACTGCCGACGGATAGGAGGATCACAGAAGGTGTATGGTTTTCCTTTCCGCCAAAGATCGACATCTCGTGGGGTGAGAGTAGTCTCCTCTTTTAACTCGCGCCATGCCGCTGCTACCGGTGTCTCATGACCCCCTATACTGCCTGAGATGGGAGCAAGGTTGTGCCTTGAGAAATCAGTTAATCTGGACGCGAACAGTTGATAGTAAAGAAGGGCTTTGGATACCTACTGATATGTGCCGACTTTCTCGCTTCGCCGAAATAGAGCAACTTTGGTTTCTCCTGAATCAGAGACGAAAGAGGATACCACTGATCTCTGCTGGAAGTCCGGGTTGCTCCGGTTCATTTTGCTTTGGAGGTATAAGATCTGGAGACAGGGAGACAGGCGATAAAGATAAGCTCAAAGTTTCGGCCCCGGAGGATATCCGCAACGCCGTCACCATCACATCATCCACCATCACATCATCGCATTGACAAAAGGCACTGGAAGAACTTGTTTGCTGAAAGATTAAGAATTTCCAAGATATAAAATATGTCTTACTTCTTTTTTTGACCATCTCATTTAACAAGGCAATTCGCTTTTGAACACTGGTGACGTCATCGCTGGTATATTCCAATATCAAAGGATCCAAAGCTTTCAACATTCAACATGCGCACTCTCACCGGGTCATGTATTTGCCGGAATATCGAATACGAGCTGAAGCTCGCTTCTATTAATGACGCGAGAACATCTATCTGCCATTGCCGTAACTGCAAGGTATACACTTGAAATTGAACGGGGCCGTGATTCGACTAAAGCTGAAATAATTTAACAGAAAGCTTTTGGAACTAATTATGGCCTGACAGCCAAAGTCCCAAAGGGCGCATTAAATCTCACCAAAGGCATCCCGAAAGAGCATGTCGCAGATAACGGATCTGGAGCCGTGATTCGTCGAGAATTTTGTGAAAATTGTGGTAGCTTCATCCTCGAATATGGGGTATGTTAGCCTTATACATAGTACGCGGGTTTTCTAACGAAGAAATCAGGATGTTTCCAAAGAGCATTTTCGCTATATCTGTGTCGGATCGTTAGACGACCCAGAAGCATTACCCCCCAAAGGGGAGTTCTTCTGCAAGGCTCGGGCGAGCTGGATGCCGGAGATTCCGAGTGAGTTTAGTATATTATATCCTGGCTCCTTTGACTCTAACAAATATATGTAGATGTATTTCATAAACAGACGGTGAATGAGTAGGAAGTAACGAAATGGACAAATGATCGCTTGGTTTTTCAGATACCTCGCCTGTCTATACGTATACACACGTAGTCTCAATATAACATTATATACCATGCACTGTCACGCTTTTCACAACCATATCCGGTGGTAGCAGTTTATCTCGAATGGAGATCGCATTCAAAAAGTCATTGCTGTCCACCCGGCGATATCCATCTTCCAGCGTCTTCTCAATACCTGCCCGTAGGTGGCGCTCAGCCAATCGGTTCCTTGCTTCTAGCGGGTCGGAGTCGACGAAGACGCGGTAGTCAACAAGCTCAGCAAGTTCACGCCAGCCGGTATCATCAAGAAGCAGATAGTTTCCTTCAATGATAATGATCTCTGCATTCGGCGTGATAGAAATCCCATTCTCGACAGGATCTTTCGCCTCGTGATCGAATGTCGGTGCGCGAATGACATCCGCTGGCGACCACGTCCCAGAAGATGAAGCTGCTAGCGGGGTCTCGTCGGCCCAGGTACGGAGCCGACAGACAAAGGCCACAAAGCGGCTCACATCGAATGTCCATGGAGCTCCACGACGTATATGTGCCTCTTTGGGGTTGGGCAGTTGATCCAAAGCTGCCCGAGAAAGATGGAAGCCATCCATAGAAAGCAGAGCAGCACGGGAAGGTGAACTATGATTCAACTGTTGCACTACTGCCTCGGCTGTGGTGGTCTTCCCTGAACCGGGGATGCCTGCGATGGCAACTAGGTAGCGTGATTTTGGGTGAGCATCGGCCTGATTCCGGATAACATCCGCCAGTCGCCGGTACTCGGATTCCATCTGTAAGCTGCGGTTAGATTGGCTACATTAGAGGCCCAGATGAGATGTTACCTTGAATCAATCACACATAGATGTATCTTATAGTGACGCAAACTAAAGTAGATGCCTCAACCACGGCAGGTGACAGTCAACGGATCATACTGCACAAAATGCAAAGAGCAAATTCAGCAGCTATCCAGCTATTCTTCCAATAGTTTGATGAAAGTGCCGGGCCAAGTTATGTATGTGCTGGTGGAGCGGGTATCGGGTCACAGTGTTCCGAACACAGTGGCTCTGGGTGTTGTGCCGCTGTTGTGCCGACTCGGCATTCCTCCTGAAAAAGGATCTTTGCTAGTTTATTTGGGGTAAATTAAAAAAAAGGTGGGGGAGAGAGGGAGATGTTGGTGGTTCATTCCCGAGGTCAAACCATTTTGATGCCAAAATCGTTTCGGGGCACAATTCTCCGGCGTTATGTTGTACACCCGCTCAGACTTCTATGAACTTCAAAAGAACCCCATTGATTTTGGTGAAATGAGACTCGAATCCAAAATCAACTCTTGAAATGTGACTTTATAAAGGAAAAAGAATTGCCAAAATGCAACAATGCAACAATGCCGGGGCGAAAAAGAAAAAACACATGGAGGACTCTGGTAGCCTCAAAGACGTCGAACTCGATGAACCCAGGAAATCCGCACCATCATCCATATAACTCCCTGGACAAAGGAATGAGAGGAATGAGACCACAGAAGACAATCATAGTCACACTGTCGCGTCTTTGATCAACCTGGAAACCGTTTCCACTTCACTAACAGTTGCCTTGCGATGATCTTTCCGTTTCTTCTGTATCGGCTCCACGTAGAAGCACAAGAGCTGTTGTGACCAACAATGGGAACACTGAGGTTTCGTATGATCACAAGCGGTATGGTGTTCACGACAGGCCTTGCAGTCGGCCGGATTTGGCTGGTAGGGCTTTGGCAAATCTGGGGAAGCGGCTTCAAATGCCGTACCCCGCCATCCGGACCACAACCACTGGGAGATGCGACCGCAAAGTGTACCCTTCATTTGCCCGTATATAGGCGGATCATGGGGGATCTGTAGTAGAGCTGAACTTTGACTTGGTTCCTGATCGATATGTTCTCTGTAGATCTTATCAGCCTGGATCGAAACCTTGGAATAACCTCAAGAAGCTCTAACCGGCGGCCCTGACTCGGCATTTTGCGGGGTCCACGTTCTCCTTTAGTATAACTGTCGCTGCGAATATTTATTCATGGCAAGGTGAAGATGATGAACTAGAAACAAGATAATGGCCGAGTACGAGAGATCTACCCAAGGCAGTGCATACCCCATTTAGGCCCTCGGGCCCCCTGCAGCAGCACATGAACAAATCACCAACTTCGGGCACTGCATGTCATATCAGGCAGCTGTAGCTGTAAGTCATGGGGTCAGGCGAAATTAGCATGTTCTTAGGGGTTTTTTAAGGCTTAGTTTCAGATTTGATCATATTATCTCAACTAGAGTAACGTCAGGCGATATTCGATATTCGGAGTTGTACAGTTCGGAATCACGTTCCACGAGACGCGGTGGACGCTGGGGTTACTCTAAAACCGTTGGAACGTCATAATGGCTTCAGTGAGAAACATGTGGCTAACAAAGAAAAGTTAAGATGAACTTCTCGGGTTGTTCACAATAATAAGTCAACATGGTTCGGATAAGCGAGGCGATCAAAGACGATCACCGGAAATTGGAATCTTGTTACAATATCATCGTCAACTCCGAAGATGAAGATGAACAGGCTCGATTTCAGAATCAGTTTACCTGGGAACTCGCACGACACTCTGTCGCCGAGGAGCTAGTACTTTTCCCTGCAATGGAAAAGCTTCGATCTGCCGGGAAGGAGAAGTTAGATGATGATCGGCGTGAACATTCAGCGGTAAGTGTCCACATATTTAATAGAGAGTGATACTGATATGTCATAGCTCAAAGAACAGCTCTACGTTTTCCAGGACCTAAACTCCTCCGATCCACGCTTCATCCCTACAATTACGATGCTGATGGAAGGTCTTGCCCGGCATATGCGAGACGAAGAGACAAATGACCTGGTTATATTGGAGGAGTCCCTCACGTCTGATGAGAGCGAGAAGTTGGCTGAATCTCTCAGTCGCACTAAAATGTTCGTGCCCTCTCGCTCGCATCAGTATGACTTTGGCAACCCGCACTATGAGACTGTAGCCGACCTGCTTACAGCTCCCCTGGATCATCTCCAGGACCTGTTTCGAAGGTGGCCAGAGGAGGAAAGCATTCTAACATCGCCAATAATGGAGTAGGTAAAAATAATAAAGAGGTTACAGCAACATAGAGATTTCATTTCTTTTGCCCTACCCATGAGACAACTGGCAGCCTACAGAATATTCAAACGTGTGAACGTAATTGAATTCCTATCCTGGATGATGATAATGACGATCATGGTGTCTCTCTATCGAGTCAATCTCGCTTTGAGTGGTGTGGTGAGATCTATGTTCAGCTCTGGATAAACTATTGTTAGCAATTTGACTCGATTTACAAGAATATCTCTCACTTTTCCGCTCCAGCTAGCCCACTCGGGTCCTTGCTCTTCTCCGGAGCCTCATCAAGGTAATGCCGTGGTGTATCCCCGTCAAGCTCATCATTGAGAAGGTCTAATGCATTATGCTTGGAATCTTTGGATACCTTGGGATTGTTAAGAGCACTAGAAAGTATTAGTAATGACTATAAAATGGAAATGAGAACATCCAAGCTCACGCTGTATAGCCACGCTTCGCGCTGACTTCGTCTTCGACAGGTAAATCGACATCTTTGGCTTCCCCCAGGCTTGACATCATGCATTTAGATATTTGAACAAATTTTAAATACCCCACAACGATAAAATTGGGGTTCTAGATTTTGTAGATCGTAACGATTATTGAAACATACGAAGGCGAAGTAATAGCGGCTGAAATACCCGAGTTTGTAACGTCACCTCACCATCACGACCAAGCCATAGATGCTAAAAGCGCCGGAAATACCCCGAGCGCATGGTTCCAACTACCAATAATACTTGCAACACTCAAGATTATTAAGGGCTCTGTTCCTAGATGGAAAACTGGAAGATGATACCTATTGCCAACACGATGTTATTGAGAAACAGCTGTCTATTGTACAGGAGGAAAACGTGATCCGACAAAAAGGACATGCTGATTAGAGGTTGTTGTATCTCGTTTGCCCTGTATATCCGGAATTTCCACCATGATTCAACATCTCTAGGTCCGGAGCTTCTTGAGTTTTGTGATAGCCCGAGAGAATCTTGCTCGGATGGAAGAGGTTGAAAAGCAGACAGCAAATGAACATCAACGCCGCATCGAATACATATATGAATACTTCTTTGCTTTGAAGAAATCCGTTGCTACCCTGGACATACTCTGCCACTCGATAGATTGATCGGACCATGACCAAGACACTGGCGATATAAAGGACCTTCATATAGCGGGTCCAGGGAATTTGAGAGTCACCCACCGCATGCAAAGGTGTGGCTAGCATGCGGCGATGGAAAACCACACAGACAACGATGAAGAACCCGAAGAATAGGATTTGAACAAAGAGTCCGGCAATGATCATGTTGTTTCCAAGGCTTACTTTCGACTCGTCCTTCGCAGAAGCAAGCATTCCACCTCCTTCAAGAGAGGAACGAGGTTAGTAATGTTTCTTGCTGCAGAGAATTCATATAACATACCTCCACTCTGGATGAAAAATGACAGCACATCACCCGTCACAAATATTTTGGTCAACCATGACGGCCTGACTAGGGAACATGAGGCCCCGTTTACCAAACGAATGATACGGCCGAGAACCATATATATAGAAGCTGCAAATAATGCAGGTGCTAACAACAACATCAAGCTCTGTGCAATATATGGCTTGGTGGTCCAATTCGGGGATTCCTCTGCGCTGGCATACCTTGCCAAGTAGCCAAACACCTCAACTGAAAATAGTTCGCAACAATTAGCGTAGTTTCAAAACGGATAAGGAAGGCATAGAAAGGTTACACACATAAACAACCGATGAGAAATGGTATGAAGTACCAGGTTCGGTTCCGACCTAATTGCCAGATATGTATAGCGGCAGTGAGTCCAAAGAGTGCTGCGAAGGCGACAGCAGCACCAGCGGACGGGTTGTAATGGTATAATTGGAACCCCTCGGCCATGATGAGCTAGTGTAAACTGCAAGATGGGGTTGAAATATGATAGATGGCCAGTCTTGGAAAGTCCTAAGATTCAAGAAAGATAGGCGAGGCTGTTTGAAGACGGAAAGGAGTGAAAGGCCCATCTATTGAAAGGATGCAAGAAAGAGGTCTAGTTCAGCTTATGCGAAGAAACTTGCTATTTAACATCTTTTCATTTTGGCAATAATTTAATATTAGTATACACGCTCTGCTGATATTTCGCTGCCTTGTTCCACAATTAGAGATCACTCTTTCGTTGATGAGAGTTGATGAAGAGGACTAGTCCGTTTGGGTATAAGAATACGAATTATCCGAGATGCTGCAGTTACATATGTAGTTAGCTTCTCTTGCACTGATCCACTTGAGAAGCTTGTGGTTTCTCGTCCAATCAGACGTGTTATAGATCTCTCGAAGTGGGAAACACTACGAGTACGAGATACTACTAGCAGTTTGTAGTTGTGACCAGTACGGCATTATTTACAAAGTCTCTTACTTTTAGACCTCTATGGATATCATCTTCTCCACAGCGTTTCTAATAATAAGGTGAAGAACAAATACGAAACAAGCAGCTCATCTGCAATGGTATGCACATAATAAGGAGCAGGGAAGAACACACTCGGCTGTGAGAAGAGTTCCGATATGCGAGACCTTGACATATAACCTGCACTGGAATATGGCTTTTCCATATAACAGTCTCAACTGCGTTATCGTGGGGATCCGTACTGCGAGTAGATCTTCGAGGCGCGAAGTCCTATCAGCACTGAAGATGAGTAGAGCAATGGAACAATGTGAAGTTTGCTTCTATTTTATTGGAATGCTGACTAGGATTTGCAGAATTAAGTATATAGGAGCGTTCGTATTCTTCACTTGAATCTTCCAACATTGAAGCTAGTGTGGATAGGGATAGCAGATTGTAGGACTAGGTACCTTTTGTATAGCAACTCCATACAAAAGGTACATAAAGACAACACGTGCACAAATACCATCGATTTTCTCAACTCTCAAACTAGCTTAATCAAAAACAAATTTAAAAATGGCACGTGTCTGGTCTAATTCGTTTCTCAGTAACCTTGATAGTTCTACTACATGGCATAGAAATTTACAGGACACCTTAAAAACAACATATACAAAAGAGTATGTTCAAGGTAGTCTTTTCCAAGGTTGCTTCAAGCATACTGATATCATTTACTAAATGTTGATATAAGTAATTGAGACTTTAGTTACACTATATATATCTTTCCATATTCTCCTTGAATACTTTCGGAGTTAACGAAATTGAGGTTATGACTAGGTTGTGTTTATGCAGTTACCTTTGCTATAAAATTGGTATACTAGGTGTTGTTAGGATTGCCACCACCATCATGGTCTATGTTCTTAGAGTAGTATATAGTATGAATAAAGCAAAAACTATCTGGTACATAATTTTCCGAGGGTCTTTATGTTGTAATCTGCTGCGTTGCCGACATTCCTCGGGTCCTGGAATGTGGTGGCTTTTGAATGGTATATTAATGTTATTCATTAATCTTATTCAAATTAGCACATGCTAATAGTTACGGAGTAAGTACTTATTCAGATAAGCTGAACTAAGACAGTCTAGACCTAAGCGCCCAACGGCCGCCAAGAGGAAGTGATGTTGATCGGAAAGTGGAGAGCGGCAAGTCCGACCATAACATTGTCCGCACATTTTGACCTCATTTTCACCTGGAATGTGGCGATTAAGAGAGTCCAAAAAAAAGAGAACTTGAAAACATGTTTATCTCTTACCCTTTTCTTTTTCTACTCTTTCTGTCTTTCTGTTCAGATCCCAATATCATCCTGTTACACCGGGTTGTTTTGGGCTACCGCTCGGGTGGACTCTAGTAGTTTCAGGTTGACGGACCACCCCTATAAACTAACCCTTAACCGCTGTGACAGCGGCCAGTCGATCCTTTTTGTGCCTCTTGGACTGTTGCTTTGAGGAATGGATCATCATAAGTGGACTTCAACTCCTGGACTAGACCGCCACGGGTTTCTTAGACTAAGGAGATGCAGCCTATTGCAGACATACGCTCACTAACCCCCAGTCACAGCAGGCACTGGTGCATTGTTATTGGATGGACAAATTGATCCCCTGTTTTCCTAGCATAAAGCAAATGGGCTTGTGCGGCTGGTGAAAGATATTTGGGTCAAATATTTCCCACTGTTACTTCGATACGTTGGACACGCTCACATTCCTTTCTCCTTGTTGGCAATCTGGGATTGTCAGTCTTTCTTTTAGTCATTTTTTCTTTTCTATCAATTGCACTGTCTTTCATTTTTCTTCTCGTCTTTGATTTCTGGATTGTCTCAAGCATCTGGTCTTGTTATACGTCTCCTCCAGACAATATGCTTTCTTCAACACGTTCATTGAGCGCTGGGTCGCTGATGCTCGCCTTGTTATCTTCCCCCGTGGCCGCCACAAGTTATTCCCTGGTGGAGACTTGGCAGGGGAAGAATTTCCTGGATTACTTCAATTTCCACGTCGGTTCTGACCCAACCAATGGCTTTGTCAACTATCTCGACAAGGAGACTGCCGAAAGTACAGGCATTGTCAAGGTCACCGATTCTGGCAGTGTGTATCTGGGTGTCGACTATGCTACCAAGCTGGACCCCAACGGCAACAAGGGCCGTGATTCGGTGCGTATTGGCAGCAAGAAATACTACGACCAGTCTCTGGTTATCGCCGACATCGCCCACATGCCTGGTAGCACCTGCGGTACCTGGCCTGCTTTCTGGTCTGTCGGAAGGGAGTGGCCTCAAGACGGCGAGATCGATATCATCGAAGGTGTCAACATGCAGGAACACAACGAAATTGTCATGCACACTGCCGGCACTTGCAGTTTGACAGATACGGATATGACCGGCTCGGTTAACGCTACAGGGTGTGGCTTGGATCTGGGACCCGTGGGCTGCAAGATCGAAGGTCATGAGGGTAGCTTTGGCACACCTTTCAACAAACAAAAAGGTGGTGTGTATTCACTGCAGTGGACCGACGAATTCCTCAAGATTTGGTACTTCCCCCGAAGCTCGATCCCGGCCTCGATTACGAGCGGCAAGCCCGATGTAACACAATTTGGTACTCCGATGGCTGTGGTGAAGGAATCGTGCGACGTTGCCAACGCCTTCAAGCCACAGTCTTTTGTATTTGATGTCACCTTTTGCGGAGACTGGGCAGGTGGTGTATATGGTGATTCTGGTTGCCCCATGACCAACGGTGATTCTTTCCAGAGCTGCCAGAACTACGTCGCCAACCACCCGGCCGTGTTTAAGGAGACATACTGGGAAATCAACTCGGTCAAGATCTACCAGACTGGCGTGAAGGGAATTGCCTCAGTTGCATCCTCTGAGCCCGAGCCAGCTACGACTGCCGCTGCTCCTGTGGTTTCCAAGACAACTGCTGAGACCCACGCTACTCAGAGCGCCACTGCTGTGCACTCTGCAGCTTCCCAGGAAGATCAGACCGCTGGAGCAGTTCAGGAACTGAATCCCACATCTGTTCCTACAGTCGCAGCTACTGCCGAAAGTCCTGCCACCGAAGCAGTCGGGCACCCTTCCACCAGCAAGAAGACTCGGACTATCACCTCTGTAGTCACTGCCACTGAGACC